GTTTCTGTGCACTGCACTTTTTATCAATAAGATCTATCCTCCTATGAAGTTTCAAGTCTAAAGCTTTGATAATTTATGAAAAATGGCCTGGACAAAAATAAACTATGAAAATTAACAAAGGGCAAAAACTCAAAAAATAAGAAATGCAGAGTACCAGTTCTTGTGCACTGCACTTTTTCTTAATGAGATCTATTATCCTATGAAGTTTCAAGTCCATAGATTTTATACTTTAGGAGAAATGGCCCGGACAAAAATAAAGTATGAAAATTAACAAAGGGCAATAACTCAATAAATAAGAGGTTCTTATGCACTGCACTTCGGGTCATTATATGAAGCATGCATACCAAGTTTGAAGTCAATCCGACTTATAATGACTGACTTATGCTCCAGACAAGCTTAAGGGGACGCCGACAACGCCGCCGACAAAAGTAACCCCTTAATGTCGCCTTTTTCAAGGCGGCACAACAAAAATGAAGACCGAGTAATAAATAGTTTTAATGATAGTCAGGGGAAACCATGTGGACAGACTAACTTACCGACATTTGCAAAACAATACATGATTACGTAATCCAGAAACAGAATTTCATGAATTCTTCAAAGTTTGTTTCATTACACTTATATATAAATATTAAATATTAAAATAATAATATTATCAATAAAATGGAAGCACATAACATTTGACAAAAATAGATATACTAGTACTATACATGTATTATTATATATAGTGTTAGAGTTAACCACAACATGGTCAAATAGCATAAGTCATTGATAGGTGATTTATACAAGAGGATGATATGAGTTTGAACTAATGACTTGTATGCCATTTCAATATTATGTTTAATTACACATTACATTAATATAATACATTGGTAATAAAATTCATATTTATTAAAATGGCCATTCAAAACTTTAATATTGATGGGTCCTATACCAAGTTGTACCGGGGATGTATGTCCTGTATAAAGTATTTACTTTATTTTGTGTCTGGAGACAACTGCAAATCTTATTAACCTCTGGTTGATAATAAAATAAAGGTCCATTATGAAATTTAAAAAAAATCTAATATACATGTATACAAAACTGCATACTCTAGATATATTATTTATTTGAAATATACTGTTGGACGATAGGAATAACAAGATTTAAAATATTTATAACAATATATTTGATTAAAGTTCAAAATCAGATATTTACAAATATGTACCTAAATCTTGAATTAAAATGCATTAAAAATACAGAAAATAATATTAAGGCAAAATATCAAAATAAAATTATCATGATTGGTATTTTTGTAAAGAAACAAGAAAGTAATGAAGATCTGTACATAATCCTCAGCATATTTTTTTATTAAGAAAGTTCTTTAAAGTTCCGTTTTAGACTAGAGGTCTTCTGTGGGAACTGATTTGTTTTTCTGACATCATAAGAATACTAATAATGCTAATTTAATAAAACAGCACCTTTAAATTATTATCACATGATATAAATGTGTATATCTCATCTTTTATAGATGAATTCCCTGATAATAATAATAATATTATCAATAAAATGGAAGCACATAACATTTGACAAAAATAAATATACTAGTACTATACATGTATTATTATATATATTGTTCTGACAAGGTTAATTTAACATAATTGTTTAATCTCCATTAATCATATAATAAAAATCACTTGTTTCTATTAATAGATAATTTGCAGAGTGAATTTTGAAAGTGAAACCTCTGCAGAGACGCTCATTGTAGAGCTTGTACTTCTTCTTCTTTATGGCAATACCCGTCAGCATATGTAAAATAAATTATTGCTTCTAATAGGAAGTTGCTTTGAAGATATTTTACCAGATGTCACGTCAAAGTGTTAATATCGCTTTTATTAAATGGCTTTATTACACTCCTGCGCCGCGATTTATGTGATAAAAAGGGATATCAAAACATATTAAGCAGCTTACAATAAATGGAAGCACATTATATTTTACAATAAAAATAATTTTACTAGTACTATACATGTATAGTTATATAAAATGTTTTTATAAGGCTTGAAAATACTGGCCAAACTGCACAGACATGGAGACTGCCTCATCTCTACTGCTGAGTCAAAGGCATGTCTTCTTTAAGTTTAAAACCACATGAACATTGTACACGTAATATGACAACCTTTTAGCATTACTGGTATTATATGTCCATGGCTTCATCATGGTAAGTGCAAAATACACAAAGTCATACACATTAACTGATGGAGACAGAACTATATGCCTCTCTATACAATATATATGGAGTTAAGTAATGATCACATAAGTAGAATCATTGGTCTTCTGTAAGCTGAGGCTAATACAAAATTCTGAAGGCCTTGTGGCATTAACTAATTGTACTTGCAAGTTATTTTCTTTTCACTATGATAGTCTCAATGTCCCAATTACATCATTTGAATTTTTTAAGGCATTTGCATAAAAAATTTGACCTTCAATCAGCCAGCTTTTGTAACAAATGTATCAATTAAAATTAAAAGCAGGCAGTGTTATGCCCTTGGCCAAAGATAAACAGTAATAATAAAACTTTTAAGTAATTAAAAATTTGAAACTGGTACTACATTTACATTTGCAACTACAATAACATAAAGAAATATAAAAAATCACATACTCTGCACAGGGAAAGTAAATCAATATAAGCTGTATGAAATATACATGTAGTTGAAAAAAAACATAACAAACAAATCAGTTTAACAAATAAAATATTTGTAAAAGAAAAAATATAAACAAATAACTTAATAAAAGGAAAAAACACAAATCACAATAATGCCAAAACTGATAAAATAAATAAGTTACAGTGATTTTTGTGGCTCAACTTTGGTAACATTAAGTTGATTGCAAATATCATTCATGCACATATAAACATGATGAAAATATGTTGGTTTTATATCTAAACAATATTGTCACGATTTAAGAAAATAAAAAACCTATGTTATAGTTTGTCTCTTTGGTAACAGTTTTTGTACAGTGACTGCGTCAAAAGTCAAGTAGTTCTGAAAAACAATATCAGGCCGTGCATTTACAAAATAAAGGTCAGGATCAGGATCAAATACACCTGGTTCTATTTTTATTGTTTAATGAAACTAACATTTATCATATTAGGCCTTAATAATATGTTACATATACAAAATGTATAAACAAGCCTGGTTTGCAAAATAAACAAAAACAACCTTTTGCATAAATCGATGAATTACAATACATAATAGAAGAAAAGAAGTATCAAATTAAGGATTTCAGGACCAAGCTCAATATTTAGATCAACTGTTAAACATGTATATCTTGTAAAGTAACTGCTTCCCTAAATTTCATGAACACTCTTTTTCATGTCCACTTCTATGAAGTTAATATTAAAAATAAAATCTATGAGATCAATGGAGAATTTTTCTGTTTTGATCTTCTTGACCCTGATCCTTGAATCATTGTGAACATGGGGTCAGATGATTAAAATCTGTTGGTTTTATGTCTCAACTGTATGGACTTTGTTAAACTTGCCTGGTTATATAAACTGATCTAAACATTAGTTAACAATTAAAGGTAATACACTAAAAGCCACAAAATAACTAGAAATGTGTCCATAGGACACGGGTGCCCCCAGCGCGCCACTGTTCTGTCAATCTTATGACTCTAGGTCAAATATTTTTTGAAAACTAAAAATCTTTTACTAAGTAAAGGACAAGAACTTTACAAATACTGAATGAATCCACAAGCAAACCCAAGGGTGCATAAGTACACATGCTGACAAACATTCTTGTAAACTTTCTGGCCTACAAGTGCAATACTTTTTAAGCTATGCATGAACAAGTTGAAAATTGCAAATTTATACTACTGTAAGTCAATGGCAATAACTCTAACAATACTGAAAAACTCCACATGCAAAGTCCCAGGTGCATAGCTTCACAGTGATGTGAATCATTATTCCTGTATTTTAGTGATGTTGATTATTATTCCTGTAAAGTTGGTTGATTCTAACTCAAGCACTCAAGGAACAAATTACATAATGAAACAGATTTTACTAAGTCAAAGGAAATAACTCTACAAATACTGGATAAATCCTCAGGCGAAACCCCAGGTGCAAAACTTAATATGCTGAGCAACTTTCCCGTAAGGTTTAATGACTCTATGTCAAATCCTTTTTGAGTTACATGCGACAAATGTAAAAATTGCAAAATTTTACTAAGTCAAGGGCAATAACTCTAAAAATATCCAGACGAAAATACCCAGGTGCACAACTACACATGCTGATCAACATTCCTGTAAAGTTTCATGACTCTAGGTCAAATCCTTTTTGAGTTACATGCGACACAAGTTGAAAATTGCAAAATTTTACTAAGTCAAGGGCAATAACTGTAAAAATACTAAAATTATCCAGACGAAAATACCCAGGTGCACAACTACACATGCTGATCAACATTCCTGTAAAGTTTCATGACTCTAGGTCAAATACTTTTTGAGTTACGTGCGACACAAAAGTGAACGGACAGACGGAAGGACGGACGGATGGACAAGGGTAAATCTAAATGCCGCCACTAAAGTGGGGGCCCCAAAAAAAATAATTTCCCTTTACATATAACCCAAAATTTAAAAGCCTGATAAAAACCAAAATTAAAAAAATATGAAGGGACATAGTCATTGGTTTTTTACCCGAATACAATTTTATATTTTTTCAGATGAAAGAAAATTTTTTCTAAAAAAATTATTTTAGAAAAATAAAAATTTAAAAAATTTTTTAGAAAAATTTGGAAAAATAACATTTAAGTTACTTTTAACAGAAAACATTAATAAAGGGAAAATAATCAAACACAAAAAAATTTCTGATAAAAAAAAAAAATGGTTTTTCTTCTAATAAAGGGGTTAAAAATTAAAAAACATGCCTTTCTTTTGGGACATGAGGGGCTGCTGTAAAATTTTAAAAAAAACCCCGATTTTTTTAAAAAAAAAAATTTACCAGTATTTTAGCATTTCCCCGGGCACTGTACTACCTAATACTTTGTATCTACAGCTATTCTACTCGTATAACACAAAAATGTCATCCTTCATCAATGAATTCCATTCTGGTACCCATTGTGTGCTTCGTTGTCAAGTTCATCCTCTGACCGAGCCTTGAACCCATTTCTCATCTCAGTCACATGACCTTGTGTTGTTATAGTCTTACTATTTCTATACATTAACTTGAATCCTTGATACAAGGTCTCCAGCTGGTTGTATAAATCATCAGCATCTTTTTCATCTATATTCAACTAAAATATTGGTAATTAATTTAAATTTTCCAAAAAAAAAGAAAAGGAAAACAGGTTCTGAGTAACAAGTTTATTTGAGGAAAAACATATGATGTGCTGTGCGTTCGAATCCCGACAGGGACTTTGGATTTTTTCATGTGAGGAAGCTATCCAGCTAGCTTACGGAACAATGGTTTTTCTACTCAGGTGCCCGGTCGTGCCTGGAATAATGCACGGAAGGGCACCTGAGGTCTTCCTCCACTAGTAAAGCTGGAATGTCGCCATATGACCTATACTGTGTCGGTGTGACATAAAACCAAATCAAACAAACAAACATGTGAGAAAATGTTTAGAGATAAAAAAATAAGCACTATCATGGGGAAAGCTTGCAAATTCATACATGTAGAATTCTAAATATATATAAAAAAAATACCCCAAAATGACATGATGTTTGTCTGTTTTAACAATGGTAACTTCTTGAGAGTATCATGAAATATGATACAAAATTAACTGACAAAAAATTGCACCAGTGAATTAACAGTACATGTAAGCAGCCTGGTAGCTCAGTCAGTCAAGCTGTCAAATGATATTCAGAGGGTCAAAGGTTTGAGTTCAAGATTGTATTGTACATTTTTCTTGCATCAATAAGAATAAGTACTGGTAGAGTTTAAATGTATACCTTTTCTTCACCAACATATGGTCTACCAAGCACTGAACATAGACTGCAGTATTTTATACGTGGATTTAAGCTTTCACATTTTTGCTTGGTTACATATATCTGGAAATAAATAAATTAAATCATTATTTTCAGGTATTATTAAAACAAAAACATTTTTCAGAATATTTAAACGAATCAAAAAGGCATAAATGTTTTATTTGATAGATGGCATATTTTGTTGCTATCAATATATCACCATAGTATTTAGAGTGAACGGGTCAATTAGCTTAACCCATTACCAGATATATACGCCTTTCTACGCCTTTTTCACCCCCCCCTTTTTGCTTTCTCAAATGGTGAAAAAATGCCTTATTTAGGGCCCCCAGACACTTGTTTTGTTTGAGAAATGTTGTTTAAAAAATTTACCACTTTTTCGGCGTGGCCCCCCATCCAAAAGAGGGGGTTGCCAGAAGGGGGATGTGCCCCCTTCTGTTTGGGGGGTTTGAATGGGGGCGGAGTCCCCCTCATCGCCAAGAAAATTTTGGACCTGTGGGAGGCTAAAAATAGCCCCAGGTCGATCATAAGGTAACGTGTAACCAATGCTGAAAAGCCTTTGACTCTATCTCAATCCATTGAGAAGTGGCAGCACTTTGAAATCAATTTTGATGGAAAAAATCAACACAAAATAGTGATTTTTGGCAATTTTGAGATGTCCCCTCGTTTCCATGGTAACAGGAAATTTCAGACTGAGCATGTTGTTACAAAGGCAATGGTCCAGTCAACATTTGTGCCAAGTTTGATTAGTATTGAAGCAGTTTTTACAGTTTTATAGCAACTTGAACTTGTAACGGGAGACTTTTCAATGAAAACAGCCATTTTTCACAAAATGCTCATGGGGTAATGGGTTAAATCAAGGGGAAAACATTTCTGTATTACGGTATAGCACAAAATGAAGTCTTCATCCAAAAACTGTTTCAGACAAAAGTGTGGTATAAAAATTTTGTTTGGAATAAAAGAATTTTGTTACATAAAAACCAGCATGTTATAAAGGACAATAACCTTCTTAAATGACATGAAACTACCCAACATGATCCACAATATAATTAATAACAAGATTCACAATATAATTATCATTAACTCATCTACAATATAATTATGTTCAATTAACCCCCATAAAACTCTTCAAAAATAATTGTTGATGTTTATGCCAACAATATAAAGCCATGTCTGTTAGTGCACTTAAAAACCCCTTTGATGCCTGAGACATTTCTAAGAAATACAAGAATCTACTAATCTACAAAAGATAAATGCTTATTTTTTCACTTGTAGTAGAACAAAGAATGTAGTACGTTAAAGATACTAGCATTTTCTTGAAGAAAATAAACAAATGTAAGATAATTTATACATTTATATCTATACATACATTTGAACTTTTTTGGATGATCAAGTGGGAGATTTTTCTTCAAAAAGAGGGAGATTTTAGAATTTGCAATAAACAAAGAAGGAAGTTCTGACATCAAAAATAGGGAGATTTCTTTAATTTGCGAAAATACCCCTTATTTTAAGAAAAATCTTTGGAAGTTTGGATGCAGAAAGTGGGAGGCTGCCGCTTAAAGTGGGAGAGTTTACATGTAAAGAAAAACATTACTTTGTAATCCCAAATATGAGTCTTAGATTTATCATTCATAGATGTATGCAGTGAAAGGTTAAATACATGTAAACGCAAGGAGATCATATTTACCAGAGCTTCTGCTGCATTGTAAGCACTACATGTTAAGGATCCTACAAATAGCCGCATCTGAAAATAAATGTACATTTTATAATGATTTCATCCTAAAACTCACACACTCATAGCCTCTATTTTTCAATTGAATTAGGAATAAATCTACCCTGAACAGAGGCAATGAACTGAATACCAGTTTGTAGTATCTGTGCTTTAAAACTTCTTTGGCAACTTAAACTCTTGTAAAATTCCTAGAATTGTTCTTTTTATACTCAATCTTTATATTTGCCAAGGAAAGAACTTCAGGATTTAGATTATTGAAACAACATAATTTCACAGAACATGCAGTATATATATTTTGCAATAATATTCCCTTACATATAGCTCTATACACTTAAAATAAAAGATCAAGCCAGTAAGAGTTAAAGTTGTTGTTATTTTGTTTGTCTGGTTTTTATGTTGATTATAACATATATTTGGTTACATCTCGGTGGTTATTTTTCCAAACACAATTTTTCTGGATAATTTACCAGTAACTGCCAATATTTCTCTACAAATGGCCAACTACATATCCCCAGTGAGAGACAAATGACAATTAGACAAGTCAATAAGTCAATTATCATGAACAAATTTTCTTCTTGTCCAAGGATCGGACCAGAAACACCTAGATTACAAATCCCATGCCCTCCATACTGAGCAAAATGTAAGTTTCGCATTAGCCATCTACCTATAGTTTCAACTAACTGACTTTTTTAAATTTTCAACTCATTCAATTAATGTTTTAAGAAAAAGAAATTGCATCAGAAAAGCCAAGTAAACACAAGGTTACTCCCATATTTCCTTTACAAACTTGATAAGGCTATTAATGTAATTATAAATGTACGTACAAAGAAGATGAACGGCATCACAAGGAACCACACCCATGCAGGAAGTATACCTAACGTCAAATTAGACATAACCAGGCCGGGACAGGTGGTCACTGAATATATGCCCTGTAAATTAAACAATGAATAATCATTAGTGAATCTTATATATACTTTGACTTGAGTGAACTCTCACAGACTAAATATTAAACAAACATTATGCTCATTTTTTCATTGTCAAGTTGAGCTAAATTTACTACACATGTATATATTTCAAAATATTGACTGTTAAATTAGTGATTGACTAACAGTTGATATTGCAAAATGTTTATGACAAATTATAGATTTGCCTAAAATATAAGACTGTCCCACTTTTTTAATAAACTGAACATTAGAGTTATTTTTTTTCAAATGTGTTTATATAATACTGCAATTTTGTAACATCACTTTTCATTGGATAATCATGATGTTCATATTACCTATATTAACTTCTGCTGACAATTTATGTCGTAATTTCTTCTTTTTTATTACATGCTTTTCGGTGGTTTATAGAAATATATCAGTGAAATAAAACTGGTAATTTCACTGTTTGAAACAGTGAAATTACCACTTTGATAATTTCACTGTTTTGAATTTAAGCCCCTTACGTTGTTTCAGTGAAACACCAGCGTGCACAGTACTGGGTACCAACTTAATGACGTGACGTCGTAAATGACGTCACGTTGTATTATTACTTGGCGCGCTTTTCATTCAGTATTAGGTTAAATGTCTTTTTAAAACGTTCCTTTGCATATAACAAAAAGAAAATTTGTTTAGTTTAGTGTAAGATCGAAATATATTTCAACTTGTGAACACCAAAAGTTCATATTTCACTCGTGGCTGCGCCACTCGGGAAATATACCTTTTGGTGCTCACTCGGTGAAATATATTCCGATCTTACACTGAACTAAACAAATATCCTCTATTTCATACAAAAATTTGCTGTTTATAAATTGTTATATTAAGATTTTTTATATTTGCCGTATATAAACAGTATTTTTACAATACAACCTTCACCTACTAGCTTGAGTAATATAAAAAAATTATGCAAATAACCACTTCAGTAGGGTCAAAAAATTTTTTAAAGTAACTAATATTATATAATTATAGTGTATAATGATCACTTGAGAAATTAAGTTTTGTTTGATAAGGAAACCCTGTTAGACAATAATTCATGTATAGAATACCTTTTTATTGAGTCGATCATTGAATGCCACACTGACAACATCTGTTGCATACTTTGATGAACTGTATGGTTCTCTTCTGAAATGATTATCTCAAAATTTTATAATTTATTATTAATCTCAAAATGTTATAAATTATTATTAATCTCAAAATGTTATAAATTATCATTAATCTCAAAATGTTATAAATTATCATTAATCTCAAAATGTTATAAACTATTTTTTATCTTAAAATGTTTCAAATTATTATCATACAATTAAAATACAGTATCATGTAGCAACAGCTTTAATCAAAGGAGTCCCAAATCCACCACTGATTCATGCTAAGTTTAACATAAACTGTTAATTTGCCCTTCTATACAGTAAAAATGTACTAATATAATGATTTTAATGAGCCTTATCACATTTACAATTCAATGACAGTAAAAGTATGCAAATATAGCCTTTTTTCTGCCAGCACCAGATTGGAAAGTATGATGTTGAAAATAATAATAAATCTTCAATCTCTGGCAACTTTTCAAAATAAATCAAGGATAATCATGAAACAATGGCTTCTGATGAATAATAAGGGAAAATTTGACAGCAGTTTTTACTACATTCTTGGTGTAGATAACAAAACAAGAGCCTACAAGGGTAATGTAGGAATTCACAAAAATGAAGATTTCATTCAAAATCCACATCAAATACAAAGTTATCGATCTAAAAATCTGAATCAATTGTAAACCTGAAGTCATTTATAAGTGAAGTTTCAAGTAAATGCCTTGGGTAGTTGTAAAGTAAATCTTATAATGTATTTCTTCAGTGCTTGTGGATATTCATCTTGCAAGCAAAACTTTCATCTGTTATCTTTTAAGTTTTAAAAGGGCTTAATTTTGTAAGAATCATTAAAAGGGCTTAATTTTGTAAGAATCAAAGTTGAGTTGACAGTGACTTACAATTGCAACCTTAAAGTTTCAAGTGATTGCTCCGCGCCCACAGGCGCGGAGCTATTTGTGTTTACTTTTTTTTTTTTTTTTTTTGTCCATGGGCCCGGATTTGAGCAATAAATCCTTTCGATTAACAGCTTAAAGTAAATCCGCATTCAAGAACTCCTTTCGATTTCTATATTGGTTTCTCCTTCGGTGATTTGCAGCATGTCATACTAATGAATGAGAACCGGAAAGCAGTTCTGCTGTTACATAAATTCGAAAGCTATAAATAGCTATAAATGACACTTAGGTTATAAATTTGTTATTTCCCTTTTTTTAGTAGTACATGGAATTAAAATTTGTTACATTTTGAAATACATTTACACACAGCATATCAAGTATACTATTAGTGATTGAATTTGTCAATATAAAGAAGATTTCAGGCAAAAGATTTTAATAATTTTGCTTTTGATAATTATTTTTAATTTATATTTATGAAATTAAATGTTTAATAGTAACATGTTGATATATTGGTTGTTTTGAAATAATTAAACTTTAGTATATAATGTTACATTTCATTTGCTTAGCCAGCCCGCATAGCTCAATCGGTTAGAGCGCGAGACTTGTAATCTCGACATTGTGGGTTCGATTCCCGGGCTGGCCAACTAAAATTACTAATCAGTCTTTCGGATGAGACTTTAAATCGAGGTCCCGTGTATGGGTGCTTAAACACTTGGCACGCTAAAGAACCAGGAGAAGCTTCTGGAATTGGGGCATCTTTCTGTATCTGTAATTGCACTATCCTCCGAAAAATAAAATGACTAATACTCTTCTGGAGGGCTCGCCCATATGGGCAACCGGTGGCGAGTATAAATAAACGCAAATACACACACAGCATCGTTGGTACAGCATACCACTCCATGATAATGGTGTGACTGGTGACATGTTCGGGGATCCGTTCTCGAGAGCGAAAGCTGCATATTGTAGCCATACGAGCGGATGGACCCTCATTAAGGTGATTCCGCTTTGTCAGCCAAGTATGTTTTCACAAAGTCTGTGCAAAGTGAAAGTAGGCCAAAATTCATATAACAACAAACCTCACATTGTTATATGATGAGCCATTTTCAAGTACACTTCCAATTCTATGTTTTAAAGACTATTTTAAACAAGAATAAAAATGATAACAATAAGAAATTTACCTTGAATGGGCTACATTTCTGAAGACCAAAAACATTCTGTTGCAAATCTTTATGCACATTTCAAAATTCAGTTTAAAGTCTCTTTTAGTGCAAACAAATGCTATTTTTTGCAGAAAATACAAAAAACTTTAAAAAACATAAATCTTAGGAAAGTAGTTTATCTGACCTTGAAAAAACATGGCCTTCATGACATGTGTAAAAAAGTAGTACCATGAAAATAAACATCATTTACCTTTTTCTTGTGTACATGACAAACAGACACACTTCACTGTTACACATAAAAAGGTTAGATTTTAAAGTTTGATTGTGTTTTCATTTTAATTGTAGTTCATAAAGCTATAAATGATGATTGTTTTCTTGCACTACTTTTTTACAAAAAATAATGGAGGCCATATGTGCTTAGAAGGACATGAGATTAGGATTTATTTGGAGTTAAGTTTTGAAAGATTTTTGTATTTGCTGCTAAAAAAAAGAAGCTTTTGTTGGCACTAAAACAGAATTTTAAAAGGATTTTGCCATTCATGAAATGTGCATAAAACTTTGCAACAGAATGTTTTTGGTCTTCAGAAATGTAGCACATTCAAGGTAAATATTCTTATTGTTATCATTTTTATTTTTGTTTATAATTGTCCTTAAAATATAAACCTGGAAGTGTATTTTCAAATGGTTCATCATTTTACAATAAGAGCTTTGTTGTTATATGAATTTTGGCCTACTTTCACTTTGGACAGACTTTAGTTAAAACAAACATGGCTGACAAAGCGGAATCACCTTAAGCATAGGCTATAGATAGATATCATGACAACAACAGAAACTTTGATCTGCAGTTTGAACATGAAGTGTAATGTTTTTTATGAATGGTTTTAAAGCAATTCAACAAAAAAAATATATATTGATCTCCCTAAAAATTAATTAACAATAGTTTTTTTTTATATATTACTAATGGCAAATGCAATCCGGTCAACTCGTCCCCTGGTCAACTCGACCTCTGGTCATCTCGTCACCTTTTTGGTCAACTCGTCCCCTACTTTTGGTCAACTCGTCCTCAAAGAGTCAACTCGTCCTTAATATGGTCAACTCGTCCCCTACTTTCGATCTATTTGTCACTATTATGTTGTAAATCATTGTTTTTTAAATAGTTCTTTTATGTAAAATATGTAAAATTAATAATGAATTTGATTGATATCGAAATATTAATAAAATGACATCTCTTTTACGTTAAATTTTCATGATCTTTATCTAAGCGCACGTGCAAAGCTTTGATGTAAAACTACAAAGACAGGTAAGTTTGCAAACATTCATTTAATGTTTAATTTTTTCATTATTTTTTTTTAAATAAAAAAATCCGTACATTGATATTTGCAGTGGATATTTACTGATTGAAAACATGATTGAAAACATAAAGTAATTACCAAATATTCAATTGCCATCTATTAATTAGTAAAGATTAACAATAAATTTCCATAAATAAATCTTTAAATTGATCTCAAGGAGGAGCTGTATAAAACCGAGTTCCAGAATTTCTTGTATAATACAAGTCAACATATTGAATGTATTAATTGTATTTAATTCAACATTTTCATATATTTGACCATACACCATCAAAAGCAAATTCGACATTTGGAAAATAAAATTTTATAACAACCTTTGGCACGATTTTCACGCAATTTGTATAATTTCAAATTAAAGACACGCGTTCTTTAAATATATAAATACGTATCCAGCCACCTAGGCAAATGTGTCGTTAATCCTATTATCAAATTACTATGTGTTTACTTTAATAACCAAAGGCACGTGTCATGATATATTTAATTGACAACAATTCATACCATGCATACAACAGTACAGTATCCACTTATCGACAATCAACACGATAATTTAGGTCATTGTATCAAGTCTATTATTTTCAGGATGGCATAGAACTTAGAAGACTGAATGGGAGGGCTGGGGGAACACCTCCATTCTACCTTTTGATAAAACTTCTGTACGATGAGTGAAGAACTCTGAATTGATTAGTGAAGGAAGACTTCGCCGCTACCAGCGGAAAAAATACACCTTTCTCCAGGGACAGACTCACCAGCTGTGGAACAGGTACAGGAATGGGGAGTTGTCATCAACGGGACTTCTAAGAGAATTCGGGAACCTTTATAAGCCCCAAGTGTCGTAAGATGTCAGAAAAAAAAGACAACGAAATATGTGCATGAAAAAAACAATGAAAGTGTGAAAGTGAATATATATAACATAATATTGACAAAAAAACATACTATATGATATTTTATCATTGCATATAAAACATGTTTTTATATATTAAATGTTATTGCTTTTTATCGTCTTCGAGTTGTTTTTTTTCTGTATGTAATTTAATCAGAATTATGCATATATATCCCTATTATTAGATAAAACTCCAAATATTCGCATACAAAAAGCGTCAAAATATGTCCAGTTCAGTAATTTTATAATATATTACTTTTAACAGTCTATAATCATTTATGAAATATATGGAAAAAGAATAGTAATAAAATGTAGGGGACGAGTTGGGGACGAGTTGACCAGGGGACGAGTTGACTAGGGGACGAGTTGACCAAAAAGGTGACGAGTTGACCAGAGGACGAGTTGACCAGGGGACGAGTTGACTCTGAATCTGGCAAATAGCTTTCATATCTTTGTCTCGCACGAATATGATATTAGTGAATTTCCTCATACCTACTCAAAATTCAGGTAACAGTCTTCTATTATATTGATAAATACTGTATCACCATGTAACACGTGTATAACAAACAAAAAAATCCTGAATTTGGTCTTTTGGAAATTCATCCCATTTTTTTCATTCCAGAGTGTGTTCTACTTTCAGTATTGAAAGAAACCATTTTTTTTTTAATTTGACATGAAAAATATGCATGCAATATTACTATATTATAATATTAGTCCCTTTTGTTACTATTTGTGTATTTGTTACAATTATAACAGACTTTGATATTTCTATCATCTATCTTCTGTTACTGAAACAGTCCACAGTACAGTCATGTCACATAACATTTACAAGTCTTGTAAGTCTTGTTTGTATTCAATGGAATTACTTTCCTTACCAGGTAGGCATCAGTGAAAGCATTTTTTATATTAAATATTTTTCCCCTCTTTTTAATTATGGACAGTGCATAAGATAAGTATAATTATGCAAAAAATGGTTTACAAAACATTCGGAAAAAATCTACAATAGTACTTAATCTGAATATAACATGACCTGTGCGTAGGAATAATTTGGTAAGGTATCTGTAGTGAGCACATTTTTTTGCGCGGATCTTATCAATTGCTGCATTGCAGCAACATTTGTACTTGTTACCTATAGAAGTTTAGTGGATTTACTCACATTATGAATTTATAAAAAGTTAATAAAGGTCAACATGTACACTACAATTCAGTCAAAATCTATGCTATAGTTGTTAATCTTGGACTTTGAGCAACAGTGGTTAATGATATATAAACAGTAGTTAATAAGATGGTGGTTAAGAACCGTGGTTAATGTGATATGAAACAGTGATGACGAGATATGAAACAGTGGATGTTGAGATATGAAACAGTGGATGTTGAGATATGAAACAGTGGTTAATTAGATATGAAACAGTGGTTAATTAGATATTTAACAGTGATGAAGAGATATTAAACAGTGGATGTTGAGATATGAAACAGTGCTTGATGACATTTTTTTGGGTTTGGGTTTTATATTGGAACATTATACAGTATAGGTCATAATACTATGAAGACTTTCCAGACAGACACCTGAGTAGAACCAAAGACATTACATAACTACCTGGATAGGTTCCTCACATGACAGAATTTGAAACTTGAACCAAATGATAACTTGATAAAAAGATGTGACAGTAGAAAGGCCTTGTCTCTAAATGTTAAGGACATTTTGACTTCATGCATATCTCAAAGGAATAATCAATGTATACTGAACTATTTGTCACCCATCTCATTATTTACATATATTTTTATCACTCTCAGTATTTAACAAATCTCTTATGTAACAGGGTGGGAGTTAAACAACAACTACAAAGTCATTTCTAAGTTTATTTCCCTAGCTACGACAACAACCCAGGTCATTTATTTTTATGATCTATTCTAATCCATTTCTCTATCGCTTCTCTCCGAAAGGAGAATTGTACATCGATAATATCAACGCAGAAATCAATAAGCCAATCACTAGTAAGGAGGCGTTCCTATAGCCAAGAAATTTATCAATATATCTTCTAGAGTATAATCAGTAGAATCTAAATAAACCAATAACAACAATAACAACAATATCAATTGTAACTTTAAAGGCATATTGTTACACTTACTTTATTACAACAACAAATATTCCAAAACTAAAACATAACATTAAGAAAAGATATAAAGTTCATACTATAACTATACCCATTTCTATGTTGTACATCTGTGTAGCTAAAGTCATCAGAATTAGCATTCTGTGATGATGTCCATATAATTTGTGTTTCCTGAGCTTTGCCTAAACAATCCTCCAGTTCTCTTACCTACAAACATTTTAAAATTGACACATTTATCTTTATATTTGTATAATAAATTTAACCTGCTGTGCATTGTTATATCAAATAATTTCGATATAAAAGTGTTATAATTGAACAGTCAGCAGTATCTGTCTTGACTAAATGGATAAGCAAGCTGGCCAAGCTAGCATTAAAATGTGGTAGCAAAGACAGGTTGTCACCTCAGTGCAGTAACAGGTTAACTCCTCATATAATTTAATAGGAGTGAACTAATTATTGCACTGAGGTGTCAACTTGTGTTTATAAAAGAAAACTTATAACATTGGAAGTTTTAAGTATTTTACATGTTTTTCAGGACATGCTATGAGTTTTAAGTCACACCAACTAGGGGTTTAATTGATTTGGCAAAGAAAGACCTTTGGTGCTTACATAATTTTAAGCCTGAGTTACAATTAAACCATCCACCTTCCATAAATTAGGTTTTTAGTATTAAAGTTGATATTAGTTAAATCTGTTCATCATAAATATAAGGAAATATTCTGAAAATGAGACATTAATTAAAACTTACCATAACAAAATGTCCGAAGAGATTTGTAGCAAATATTTCTTGAAGACCTTCTGGTGTTGTCTCGTTGATGTGGTTCAGCACTCCCCAGCCAGTACTCAATATTCGTACACCTTCACTAAATACAACATTAACAAAAATCACAACTAATTACAATAAGAATAAGTAAGAAGAAATATCTTTAAAAAGATACTCGGACGAGGTAAAACTGCCTTTACTTGCCTTTCAGTATGCACATGTTCTTCTGGTATCATGGACATTATAGGTAGTCTTGTCATTTTAGAATCTCATTTATAACTTTGTAAATTCTAAAGTTGAATAAGATATTCACTTTAGAATTAATGGAAAATTCTAAAGAAGTGTAAAATATTTATTGGGAGGAAGCTCACAGATTTCAAATGTTGGAGCAATTTAACTTGAAAGTTTGTTTCCGATACTCCTTTAGATTTTTTTATAATTTGGACCTGTATACATTTCAGAAAGATCTTTTAGACAATTATACTAATTTTAGAATAGACAATGAGATTCCCGAATTTCAGTTGTAATTTAAAAATGACCAATAAAAATCCTTCTGATATTCAGTTCTTCCCTGTAAATTTTACAACCATATTTTTAAATATGTAATCAGCCATGTGATACAACAACTGAACATTATCACCTGAAGAGGTTTTTGGGGAGGCTATGCCGACCCAATGTTAATAACTGTTCGTCAAATCTTACTGCCGCGGTAATCAGGTCACTGCCGCGGTAATCAGGTCAAAAAATAGTACCTTGATCTTTTCTAAGCTGACTCATCACTCATCACAGACATTTACAATATGAAAATATTTTCATTCTTTAATTTCATATCTGCAATTTGTAAAGATAATAATTCTCTGAAAAATTCTTGATTTTTGTTTAAATCACTACTCCGTGACGTCATACTGCCGCGGGTAAATCAGGTTTACGTACGTCTGTAATTAAATAGTTTTGGTATGAAAACCCTTCAAAATAATAAACTTTATCAATATTTTTTTAACAAAAAGCATAAATTGAAAATTTGTAAGTAAATGCTTTAATTTAGTGGCAAATATTCTTTATTATTCTTTGATAACAATTTTCCAATTACTACGCAGCGACCAACTTTTATGACGGGTCATTAACTAGAACGTTCCAACACTGTATTCTCCATTGTGTACACCGGTCTTACTGACGATATTTGAGACCGGATGTATATACAATGCCGTATTCTCAAATATCATGCATGTTCTTTTTGTTGTTATAAACCATTAAAAGTCCTTAATATTTTTTTAAAGACAAATAAATTGTAAACTGTCGCTTACATCAGAGACATGGATCATGCTTGCGTGATAACTAAGGAAAACTAACTTATTAGTACACCCCAGGAGGCTGTACGCGGAAAACGGTCATAAACCGCTATATCATAGCTGTTAGTAAATATTTTGCATACATTTAACTAAAAATTCACTGATGGTGATGAAGATATAGTTTGAAACATTATATTCTTTGAACCATTATCGCCGAAAAAAAAAACTATTTAACTACAAAAACCCCTATAAGGACCCTTCCGACAAAAAATTCCAGCACAATATTACATTTTACATTAGCAAAATAAAAAAGCAATACTTATATTTTCATCTTACATAATTCATTAATCAAACTTTTAACATAAAAAGTATATTTGGCAATTGAACAGATCCCTACTCTGGATCTTTTATTTGTATAGGAATAAATTTAAACATGTGCTCTGTTTGTTTAGGAATATTTTGTAGTGAAAGTCTTATATTTCACTGATCTCATAATTAGAATTAGACAGGTCTGGGATTTATACAACCAGTTGTTTACTTAACTATGCTCATTTTAATCCCAATAGAAACATTCAAATATTTGGGGTATAAAACATGACCAAAGTACCTAGTAGTCGTTTACCCGGTGGTGATCCCATTTAAACTGATTATAGATTCGAATTGATTAGAAAACACAAATAGAAACATGTGTTTCCGTACAACAAAAATCGGAAGTAAAAGTGAACAGTTAATTGACAGAAATATGTGGTCAAATATGTTTTAACAAAGAAATAATTTATTTCAGAGAAAGACGCAAAGATCAGTATGACCCCGTATTGTGTAATTAGAAAGTTTATTCAATTCTAGGGCATACATCATAATTTGATAGTCCATGTTGTAATAAAAATTTCAAATTTTCAATACAGATTATGAGATACATAAAAAATATTAAAGAATAAGAAGCTTTAATTAAAAAACAACAAAAACAAAAAAAAAACGCATACATATACAAATTACTTACAGTCGAGCATCGGGAAGTCATTAACATATCTACGAAACTTTTAATTTGAAAACGATATTTGCGCGCGCTGAAGTGATTAATGTTTATTTGAAAAATAAAAAAAAAAGAACGTTTTTATGTTTGTGTTCTAAAAATAATCGGCGGCATAAGAGGAATTTCTTATTCATTTTACAACACTTGAAAAAATTACTACAGAAAAATGTGTTGTTGTTTTTTTTGTTTTGTTTTCAACAAAAGTGAGTGTGTTTTAAGTTTATTTATACTCGGCGCCGGAATAACCATATGTCCGAGATCTATAGCATCTGGGACGTCTTTTTCAAGCAGATTCTTCCTGGAAGCCCATTCTTCGTTCTTTGGTGGTAAAGGAGACGACAATACCGTCAAGGCATCAACTTTTTTCTGACTGACGACAACAAAAACGGCATCTATTAGCGCCAAACCTCCAGAAGTAAGTCACGACAGGTCAACCAATCACCTCTGGTACTTATGATGACTTGACTATGTCCTTCCGTGTGCCTTCTCCGCGACGTGCACGCCTCTCGAGGAAATTGGAGAAGTTTCAACAAAAACTTCCAAAACACGCCATTTATAACATCATTCATAGCACTGACGGCTTCGGTGTTCTCATCTATTTGCAGGAAATGGTCGACAGGGAAAAACCCTACGTAATAACCGCACACCCTGTTAACAACAGATTTCCGCAGTATATATTTCAAGCTAGTGAGGTTTAAAAATACACAAGCTATCGATTAACTACCATTATTGTTTGAGTGTGGCGCTGGAAACATACGTTATAGTACATCCCAGGTTGGCGGTAAAAAAAAGAAGATATAACTTCCTGATCAATTTTCACTTAGGTTGATTCAGTTTTGAATAAGCTTTGCAGATATGTATTTTTTCAAGATATATTTAGCTTTAATATTATCCGACGCCGTCAGTAATGAAATGGGAATATTTTTCTGAAACGTGATTTTATTCGAGATTTGCTTCTGGAGAAGACAACCTTCTGTCCGTAGAGCATGAATAATAATATTCATCACAAGACAGTATCTTATTGATCTAAATTATGGTACATCTAAACGTGTATAATTTTTATGTTCAATAAAAATGTTGCCATCACTTGCAGTTGTTATTATCATTCAATAATATTAAAATGACATAAAGTATTTATGATGAACAGTGCCTAGAATATTTTGACACAGGAACTTGAAATTCTATCAAATAATCAATATTAATTTATAATATCCAAATATACCCCCTATATACTATAAAAAAATTTTATAGTATATAGGGGGTATATTTGGATATTATAATTAATATTGGTTATTTGATAGAATTTCAAGTTTCCTGTGTTTGTGTTTTTTTATAGTATAGGGGGTATATTTGGATATTATATAATTAAATATTGGCTTATTTGATAGAATTTCAAGTTCCTGTGATTTTGATAAGGAACCGTCAGTTGTAAAATGTTATTGTTATCTGATAATGAACAGTCGTCATACTTTGCTGGTATGTCATTTATTATTGACAGTTTAGGTTTTTCAAATTTGTATGATTAACAGTCCGAATGGACCTCAATGAAATGTTTTCTGGAATCTTTAACAAAATGAATAGTCAACCACATTAACCATATATATGAATGGTTTGAACAACAACAGTAAGGATAAATAGCGCAATGTGCATATCTTTTTATTTTGGTGCATATTTTAAGCAAAAAGAAAAGACACTATAAGTCTAAAACATTCTCTCATAGCTCCCCATCAGTACATTCAGTGCTTTGATTTATGGTTGGGTTTTATATCACACCAACACAGTATTAGGTCATTTGGCAAACTTCCAGCTTAATTGTGGTGGAGAAGACCACAATATTGCCCCTGTGTGCATTAATTCAGGCACAAACAGAGAGAACTGAGTAGAACCACCAATATTTCATAAGCTAGCTGGATAGCTTTCTCACATATAATGATCTGGAGCCTTGACTGGCCAACCACTGAAAAAACTACAGCAGTTAGAGGCAAGTGTTTGAAGTCAACCACCTTAACCACTGGACAATGGACACTTCTTTACTGAAGTAAAGTATCCAAGATGTCTTCACTTAACTTTGTCTCAACTGCACATACTGTGATAGGCTGTCAAAAAGTAAATATTCAAAAACTCAAATATATTTTACCTTTTAGTAGATAACTAGCTCACCATTTTATTTACATTCTAAAATACTTGAAATAAAGACTTTCTTTAACTAAGCAATAGGAAAATCACTTACCTTGAAATATAGCTATAATTTTAGACCAAATTTATACTGGAAACTTTCATTATTCCTGCATTTAAGTATATATAATCAAGTCTTGTAAACCTGAAATACAACAGTGAAATACATTCATGATTTTTAAAAAAAATAATGTGGGAAATATTGTGATATTTATTTCTATGAAGTTATTCATTGTGGTGTTGTTGGTTTTATTATTAATATTCTATCTTAATATGCCCTTTAATATCATTCAAAAGTATAAAGTGTTCATATTTTCATGAAGATCTCAGGTCCCTTTAACATATAAATCAAGGTCTTGTGTGCATCAATTAAAACACTAAAAGGTAATCAGCTCGAAAAAAAAAATATGTTCTTGATTCACTGAAGATAATGTTAGCTTTTTACTTTGTTGAAATATAATCAGGGGCACTTTAAGTCTTCCAAAAATCACCAGTAAAGCTGATAAATGTTGCCAATATTACCTTTTTCAGTGTAAGTTTGACTTAAAAGTTTAATCCCAAAAAGAAAATGAATTTTAAAAAAGCTGCACAAAAGAATTTCTTGTAAAAAAAAATTCAATTACAGTCGTGTAATATGACATTTATACTTGTTCCTTATTTCCTCTGAAGCCCCTTATAAACTGACTCGGACAGAACTTGTATCAACTATGACGATGGATATATCTGAATCAGGATGACGTCTCATAAGTCTTGTTCTGGCGTTCTCTGCACGACCCTTGTTGCGACATGCCAGACACACATGTATACATTCATGCTCCGACAGCAAACGGTCTGCAACTGATAATCCAACTCCACTGAAATAAAAAAAAACTGATTTTTTATTTTTTCATTTCTTTTACCTTCTTTTCTAATGTTCTAAATGGGTCACCTTACATAAAAACTGCTAAATCTATACCAATGAAAGAAAAAATTGTGATTTTTTTTTCTACCATTTTTATTTTTTCACACAAAAAAACCACACCAAAAGCCTTTAAAGGGACTCAATTGCCTTTTTGACCATGACAGGACTGGAACTATTTTTTTTTTTGATGTCTATACCAATAACTTAAATGTAAATTTTTTTCAGGAAAAAAAAAACGCTGTAGTCGTGACTGATATTTTCACTGACTAATAACAAAACTAAAATTTTTAATGATGAAAAATACACTGACAGAATTAAAGGCATATACCTATTTTCAGCCCAATAATTCAATGAATATACAATGTAAAAATTTCCAATATTTTGACCTTGACAATATTATGAGACATGAGCTAGTTTTTGATCAAAGTAATGTTATATGCTTTGCTAATCAGTTTATCCATTTTTACTTTCTCTAAACTGTAACAATGAATGTAATTGCTTTTGCTCTTAGTCTAAATTTGCTCAGTAAGACTTTTACCTGAAAACATTAGTTAACAATATAGTCTTACAATAATAGTTTGTTAATAAAAATTTTTATTTTAGCCCCAAAAATTAATGTTAATATTTTGAATCAAGCAAAAACACGCCTTTCTCACTTATATAACTTTTTACACCTATACAAAACAATATGCTAACAGATATGTGACATTTAGAGCATGTATATACATCTATTATGACGTAAGTATTGTGGCTCC